CAGGAATTGTTGCCCGATACGATGCTTTTTCAAACACTAGTCTGCAACTGCATTGCCACTGGAGTGTTTTGTAGGGTGTGTGGTTTGCAACACATGATGTTTCTACTGAAAAAGACATAATTGACCATATTTTCTGCAGAGCTGCATTAGCAGAATGATCATTTCCATTCTGGATTAGTTTTTCTGTGATAGGAGAGTCTGGAGATATTTATTTATTTATTTATTTAGTTTATTTATTTCTAATAAGTCTTTAATTTATACCACTGAAACAGGTCCAGAAAATAAATCTTTTTTACACTGCTTCAGAAAAATGATAAAATAAATGATCCTACTGCTTGCATCCAGACATCCTGGAGACTGTGCTTGCTAGCAGACTGCTGGAAGTCTATACAATTTTGAGGCTCCTTTAGCATATCTGACAGTTGTTGGATTCCCAGCAATGGTGGTTACTGGTATTGCAAGCCAGGTCCAAACATTTCCAATTCCTCCCTGTTTCTGGTGATGCAGTCCTTTCCAGTTACCAGCATAATGAGCCAATATAAAGTACAAACTGCCAAATAAAAGCATAAACATTGAACACTTCTGAGCTATTGTACCTCTTGAATTTCATGACTTTCCCCATTTTCTAGAGTTAAATTAATTTGCAGTAACCTCATTCTGTTTTGGCCTTTCAGATCATACCAACTGCTCAGAAGTAAGAATTGAACCTGAACTTGTGGTTCAGGATTTTATTTTATTGCTTTACAGATATTTCCTGAGTGCAGACACATTCTTATCTTAATAGTTGGGACTTGGATAAAGTTAGTAAGATGGCATTTGAGAAGATGGTTTCAAAGTGATTCCTTACAGCAGAGTAGCACAGACTGGTTCTGCCTGTTTTAGCCCAGTGGAAATGAGGGAAATTGGGAAAACATTGAATAAATTAACCATGTAACAGAATACAATTTAATTCTGTTTAAACTTTCTGCTGATCTCAGATGGCAGACGTAGGGGCACAATTTCCAACTGGAATTTATTAAACCCGTGTTTGATGTGAAATGCGGTGAATGCTGTGTGCTGTGTTTTTACTGCTGGAATGCTTTTGCTTTGAATGGCATTTCCTTTACCCTCAAAATGACTACATGGAAACTTGAGGTAAGATAATATACACAAGTTCAAATACAGCACATCACAATAATATGCTGGTGGCACTCAGACAAGTTTCTATTAGTATTATCTTATTTACAAGAACTTCTAATTGCTCCTGTGTTTAGAACAATGGGTCTTGCGAGACTTCCCGTAACGAGCAGTAAAGTGCAAGTAGTTTTACTCTGAACTTTTTAGGAAGCTCATTCAGTTTTCTGAGAAAAACAAGGGTGGTGGATGCACACATGGAAGATCTCAAAGCAAAATCACTGTTGCAAAAAGTGGTTTTCCACAAAAATATAGATTGCAGTACTGATGAGTGTAGTGGTCCATCTAGGTGTGCTTAAAACTTCAAGGTTAGCAGGAGGACAAGATGCCTCGGGGAACAGGGAAGAGAACAGGACAGCACATCTGGAAGAAGCTGGACCCTAATGATAGACATTTGCTAGGGCTTGTTTGAGCCCTGTGATTTCTATGCAACTTCCTTTAATGTCAACTTTCAGTTATCCGTGTCTAGTATTTTAGTGAGCACTAAGTTCCTGTCCTTGGAAGCCTCTAGCCTAAGTGAGCTGGAAGCTTTCAGCATCTTAATTCTTCTGAGTGATGGTTTCAATGGTGTTTCTCAAATATTAAAAGACTGGTAAGAAGGGGTTCATTGCACTGCTGGCATGATACAGAGGGAAGGTTGGGACTGTCTTCATGTGGATATCATTACTTACAGGTTGTAGAGAGGGATCATTCATTGCAGTTGATACTCAGTTAGGATAACATCGTTAAGCCATGGAGTAACTCTGTGGCTCCTCTGAGTAAAGACTTTTGTGTTTAGAGTTAACTGTGTCAGATGAGTTTCAAGAATTTTTCAAACCACTTGTGGTCAATAATGTTCTGTTTTTATGTGAAATATCCCTTGAATTTCAGAGACTTATCCTCCAACTCTGTCATCAGTCTCAAAAATGGTATTTAAGATTTGATTGCTTGTACTGTGTTTAAAAAAGGAGGGGGTATGTGGATAAAATTGAGTTATGGAGAATAACCCCTTGCAGGTCTATAATTCTGCAATACATGAGTAGTGTAGTTTGGAGCAATTTGGGAAGAAATACTTATGTGGTTTTGTGTTTACAGTTTCCTTGTCACCTCATTTATTTTATTTATTTATTTATTTATTCTCTAAGGAAAATCTGCCATCCTCTCTTGAACGACTTGGTTGCCAAATCTTTTGTAATGCTCCTCTCTGAACTAACACACTGTATCCCATTGCTATCCCCACACACTCCTGCTGCTGTTCACAGATCCTGTTTTCCATTTCATTCTTCGTTGCATAAAACATCAGTGTTAACTTTGAAAGCATAGTTTTCATGTAAAAGAATTATTTACTTTAAATAATACAATTACCAACGAGTGCATAGGGCATCCTTCAGCATCCTTTAGCTTGTGAAAGGTGTTTCAAGTGGGAGTAACGCTATGCAAGGTGTGAATACTTGTCTGCAAGGCTTCCTCTGGGATGGTGGGGCTGGTTAGTGGCACGTGCTGCTCGATTTGGTAACGCTGCTGTATCATTTGGAACCAGTCAGGGGGCCTACAAGAAAGCTGGGGAAGGACTTTTCATAAGGGCAATTAATGACAAAACAAGGGGAAATGGGTTTAAACTGAAAGAGGGGAGGTTTAGATTAGATATTAGGAAAAAGTTATTGACTGTGAGTGTGGTCAGACACTGGAACAGGTTGCCCAGAGAAGTTGTGGGTGCCCCCTCCCTGGAAGTGTTGAAGGCCAGGTTGGATGAGGCTTTGAGTAACCTGGTCTAGTGGAAGGTGTCCCTGCGGATGGCAGGGGGGTTGGAACTGGATGAGCTTTAAGGTCCCTTCCAACCCAAACCATTCTATGATTCCTGTTAAAGCACTGAGCGTCTCAGTGATGGAAGATTACCAAGCAAAGCATATTCTGGTCATAAACCATCCAGAATAAGGGGCTGGTAACACCAGTCTGCAGGATGCAGTTAGGGCAGTTACATGTTAGAAAGTCTAGTAACTTTTTATGTACCCAACTTCATTACTGCAAATATTAACAGGACGCTAATTGAAGTTCAGTTATTACTGTGAACACATTGACAGATGCAAATAAAGCCCTGGCTGTCAGAGGCAGGTTTGTACAGCAGCAGGTCTGCTGGGGGAGCACGGGTGTGCTGTAATGTGACCAGTGGGCTGTAATGGAAAGTGGAATTTTCCTCTCCGTCGACCAGCGCTGAAAGCTCTGCTGTCCCCATAATTGAACGGTGGACTGCAGAGCGTTCACGTACCAGCATTCTTAGCTAAGTGCTGATAATTCTTCCTTCATCAGGAAACTCTTCATGCGTAACCATGCTTAATAGATGGCTGAGAATATGAGGGGGAAAAGGGGACAACCCTTCAGTTTGCTCAGGATGTCTTCTTAATAAAATCTGCTTTTGTTTTCTTTTCAGACTTTGGTGTTAGCGCATTTCTGGCCACTGGTGGTGACATTACCAGAAATAAAGTCAGGAAGACTTTTGTGGGCACACCTTGCTGGATGGCACCAGAAGTTATGGAACAGGTGAATTGTTTTTTCCTGATATCTTCTTATCTGATCTGCACGTGGAATTCCCTGTTGTCAGCAATGGCTGTGTTTACTTCAAACTAAGATGATCATTTGGCATCCTGTAAAGCTTTCTTAAAACCACAGGAATTTTGTAGATTTACCTGTTCCAGCCAGGCTTGTACTGGGGAATATTAAATACTCAGTAGGTTTTTGCTCACTTGCTTCTCTTCAGGCTCCTACCTAAAGTAAGGATGAGACAGCTCAGCTGTTACATAAAGAAGATTAATCTGCCCATCCTACTTGCCTAAATGCGAGGTAGAATATAAATAGTTTCACACGTGGCAAACATGCACATATACAACTTGGTAATGTGCTCTTCTGCACTTGGCAATACAAGGATTTAGGGTAACTAATTGCAGCATGTCAGAGAGGGGAGTTATTACAGTAAAATAACATGTAGTTGACTTTATTCAGCTTTTTAGTTTCTCTTGGCTTGTGAGTATTGAGGCTGTAAATACTGAGGAATGCTTGCCTCTCCCCATTCCTCCCCTGCTCTTTTGGCTAGGTAAAAGATGCCATACTTCTTCCCATGGGATGGATATGTCACTTTTCATCCTCCACTCCTTCTAGACTAAATTATATAAGCTTTTTCTGCATGACTTCTGATGAAGGCCAGCTAGAAACTTGGTTTAATTTCAAGTATCATTGCCCATTTGTGAGCAAGATCCACAAACAAAATTGTACCACAGTCCTGACAGCAGCTGTCTGTGGCATTGATGTTCAGTGCCATAAGCATTCTGAAAATTATCCCTCATTCCCTTAAAAACAGTTTGACAGAGGACTAGACTCAGGGTTTGATTTTTGACAGGTGCACCCAGCAGAGATACAACTGACTTATGGTTTTTGTTTTTTCCTTCCAAAAATCTTTGAAACAAAAACAGTTTGGAAAAGCATTGTTTTATTAAAGTGAACCCACCTTGTTACTTTTTTCCTTGCTGTTCACAGTAAAATATTTTGAAGTTCAGGAGGAACTTGAATAAGACATATATATATATATATCTTTATATATCTATATATATCTATCTCTATCTCTAAAATGAAATGCAGCTAAAACAGTGGTAGAACTTTTCATGCTTTTTTTTTTCCCCCTATATCTAAAACTTCTTGAGGAATTCAGATAATTTTGGAGCAGCTTAAATACACTATTGATGAAAGGCTTTTTCAATATTTGGCCTTTTCAGTAGCTCCCTGTGGTGGCACTGAGGGGGCCAGTGTGTTACAGGACTTCTGCAACCTCCCCAGAGTTCAAGTCTAATACTGTAGAGTGCAAGACACACTCTCCAAGTCAGGAGCTGTCTTTGTGAACTTGCTTCTGAACTGCTTCACTCTTACATACTTCTGGATTTTTTTGTTATGTTGATTTAAAAATAAATAAAAGTTGTTTTCAGTGTTTCCAAAAGCTGATCAGAGTTGTCCCTGGCTTTTCTATCCTTTGTGTCCTGTCCTGGTGCGCAGGGCACAGCGGGCTGGCCAGGACCTAATGATGCTGCTCCAGACTCATTGAGGTTAGGGTGGCTGCAATTAACAGGGCAAGAGGGAGGAAAAAAAGAGATATTAAGGTGGGTGCTAAAAAGGGAAAATGAAGGTTTTGGTGACAAAGAGGGGATTCTTGATGTGTTCAGAGGTATTTCTGAAGGGGGCAGATTTTCTCTGGAGTCCAATACTTCCATGTAGGCTGTGCACATCTAACTTGTTGCCGATATTAGATGGTGAGGAGGTATTTTGGATGCTGCTGTGAAATCCTTCCATGTCCGTTGATATCATCTTGCTGTCTTCCAGCAGGTGTCACTCTGAGCTGCTCTATCCAACACGGGGAAAAAGGACGGAGGGGTTGCTGTAGGTTAGCCTTCCATATGTCGATATTATCGACCCAATTCCATCTGGTTTACTTCAGCATCATTAAGTTCCTTTAGCATGTTAATACGTGATAGCCTGGCATTGTCTTTTAATTCAATTGATAGATTTATGAGGAAAAAATCATTGATGAGAAAAATAAATGTTGTTGATATTAGTCATGACCCTGCAGTTAGTTTATATGTATTGGATAGATGTCAAGATGAACTGCTGTAGACTTTTTGAACTTTATAGTAGGATTATATGGTATAATTAAAAAACCCATCAACACTAAACAGTTAAAATCTCAGTGGGGAAAGGGCAGTTGTACAATGTATAGATGTGCTGCAAGACTAACTGAAAGATAAAGATAAGAAATGTCCCAAAGTTGTTCTCAAAACCACCCTTACAGCATATTTCTTCCTGCACTGTGTTCTTTTAAACTAAACTAGATATTTGTGCTTGTTTAGTTAAATGACTTGAAATCTGTTCATAATCATCCATAAACTGAGGCACTTCAAGAAATCTTTAAGACCTTTAAAGCTCATGAAAATGATGCCTGCAGATTAAAAGCAGTCAGTGCAAAGTATAAACTCTTGGTGCTATAATAAATTTCAGTTCCACTATAGTATTATATGGAAAAAAGTGCAAGAGGGTTTTTTGTTTGTTTGCTAAAATTGAAGATAATTTTAAAGGCAGTTTGGGGAACATTTTTGGCTTCATCGCAATGAGCATCTTTCTAAAGCTTGTTAGGTTAGCTGAACACGGTATCCCTATTAGCTTTCCTCTCATTCAATATTCATTTTTCCATAGTCCAGTGAGAAGAAACACAAACCATTCTCAGCAGCCAAAACACTTTGGTTTTTGTAGCTGCTCCTGAAGTTAGTACATAATGTTTCTCCCCTGCAGTAGAGAAAGCAAGTGCCAAAATATTACCTAATGATAATGAGGAAGTAACCTCTTTGGCATATGAAATATTTTTTCCTGTTCATGAGGGGAAGTAAATGCTATAAATTTTCCTGAACAAGTCTGTGTTTAATGTCAAGTGCAGAAGCTACTCTTAATTAGCGGAGGGAAAATGTTAGTCTGCAGACAGGAATGAGGGGCTTTTTACTGAGCTGGTGTGTACTGAAGTTTTAAGATTGAGCATCTTTGCAGTCAGATTGATGAAGTGGTGGACTAAAAGTGTAGTGAGGCATATGTCCCAAGGGGATAACAGTCCATCTATTAACTGTGAGAGTTTCATTATACTGTTTAATGACTCTCTGTGTCCTTGTGTAGAAGTTGGAGCCTGGGTTAACCCAGTGTCCCTTTATGTTCTACATACAGAGAGGTTTATGGCAGAGCAATCCTAGTTGCACAGTCCACAACCATAATTTTCATCAGACTATGACTTCTAAAACACCTTCTCAAAGGTATAAGGAGCTGGAGGGAGAGGAGGGAGAAAGGGTTCTTTCCATCTCTTTAACACTATAGTGCTGCTCTTCCCAAATTTGAGGGGAAAGGAAGGAAAGGGCAAAAGGATGTGTAAATAGGCTAAAGAAAGGGATCATAGCAAGAGATGTGTGCTAACATCCTCTAATATTTTTCAGGTCAGAGGATATGATTTCAAGGCAGACATCTGGAGCTTTGGGATCACTGCTATCGAACTGGCTACGGGGGCAGCTCCTTACCATAAATACCCACCGATGAAGGTGAGCATTTGTGTGAGATAAAAGATCAGTGTGTTCTCTGGGTGTTTCCAATAACGTGTCCAACGTGCTTTGTTGAAGAGTTTGTCCTCTCAGCTTGCACTTGTGGATCACAGTGTTCTTGGATTTATCTGAAGTCACCTTTTAAAAATAAGCCACTTAATCAGCATTGTCTGAAACTGCACAATTCTTATTTAGATCCCGAGTCTTGCCAGGGTCACCATTCTTGAGGAAAGTGCTGTGTGTTTTAATCCTGGAGCCTCTGAAGGCAGCAGACGTTTTTAGGGCTACAAATAATGATTCAGAACATGTCACCTGGCATCCAGTGACACTGTCATGGTTAGCCATTCCTTCTCCTGCACTGATAATTGTTCTTCATACCTCTCAGAAATCCTGTTACCAGTTATCCAAAATAATGTCTTACTTTGTTTAACACCAACACAGTCACAGTCCTGTCAGTCACTGAACTGGTGGAAAGTACCACATCAGTATGAAGTGGTGTGGTGTTGGCAGCATTAATATTTTATTGAAGTTGAGCTGGAGGAAATGTTCTTGTTTAAACACTGACACTTCAAAAATCTTTTTTAAATATCTTGATCTTTATATTGCCTTATAGTTTGCTATATAGTCTTTTTTTATAAGGCTAGTATTTGCCTTATAATATAACTTTCCCTATTTCCTGACTCTTAAATCAGGAGCTACTTCCAACATGCTGCACTTTCGGGAGTCTACATCTTAAAGTTAACAGAGTTGGCCCTATCAGTTGAGGTCTGAAGCATCCTGTCCTTCTGCTGAGCTTTGAGATCTTCATTACCCATTTGTGAGGTCTGATGAGGACCCTGTCTTGGTCATGAAACTTTGATCCCCTTTGGCCCACCTCTTGAAAGTCTCTTGAAAGCCACTTTGCTTCTACTCCTGGAATGCATGCTTCCTCAGATCAAACAGGAATGGGTGGAGAGCCCTTTCAGGAACTCGTAGGCATACCATGGGGCAAGCTTTCCTTCTCTGAGTCTTTTAACTGCTGGAATGCTATGCAAGTTGGCTGTCACCTCTTTAGGACCTGGGTGCATCCCCTCCCAACCTACAATTACAATAGCATTTGGGAATCCAGTAGCTCCTGACTCGTTAGAACAGGCACATCCAGAATGGCAGGAGTTGGAAGGGACCTCAGGAGATCATCTAGTCCAACCCCCCTACCAAAGTAGGTTCACCTCGAGCAGGTTGCACAGGGTCACATCCAGGCGGGTTTGGAACATCTCCAGAGATGGAGACTCCACACCCTCTCTGGGCAGCCTGTCCCAGGGCTCTGGCACCCTCACAGTAAAGAAGTTTTTCCTCATGTTTAAGGAACCTCCTGTGTTCCAGCTTGTGCCCACTGCCCCTTGTCCCATCGCTGGGCACCACTGAAAAGAGTCTGGCCCCATCCTCTTGACACCCGCGCTTTAGATATTGATAAGCATTGATCAGGTCCCCTCTGAGTCTGCTCTTCTCCAGGCTGAACAGACCCAACTCTCTCTGTCTTTCCCCATAAGAAAGATGCTCCAGCCCCTTAATCATCCCCGTAGCCTTTGCTGGACTCTCTCCAGAAGTTCCCTGTCTCTGTTGCTGATTTAGCTCTTGCTGTTTTCATTGATACTTCCTTCTGTGCTTTGATTATTGGGAGCATTTTGCAGTAGCTTCTGCAAGCTGTACTCCTGTTCATTGTGTTTTGGATGCATGGGTTGTAGCTTTGAATACAAAGATTGTCTGTTTAGCATCGTGTGTTGTCGTACAGTACATGGAATTACGAGTCTCCAGTTCCGTTAGGTACGGATTCCAGTCGTGCAGCCTGCAAGAGGATTTCTGTGTTTTATTTATTGAATGTAATTGTATTTCACTGCAGATTAATTTTGTTATGCAGCAAAATGACCCATGAATTAAGTGACCCTCCAAGGGGAGGGGAAAAAAAGCAGGAAATTCTGTCATGGACTGTATAATTTCAGCTAGATTGATGGGCTTTTGCTGCCCTAAGCAAATATAGCTGTTGAAAGCTATTTAAATGTGCTATGTGCTGCTTCCTTTTCTAAAAATAGATACTCATCTGTATGGAGGTGACAAGTGAAAATGGAAATGACTAATTTTCTTCCTTTCCTTCAAAATATCTGAGTGATGTGAAGGAAATAATTGGTTTGGCTTGATGGGTGCTTGTGTGAGAAATGTCTTCACCTTCTGTCACATTGATACATGGAAGTGAACCCTCGTATTTTTTTATGTTGCCCTTCTGCTTTTACATTAATTTGATTTCTAGCTAAGAAATACCTGCAGGGAGATCTAAACAGAGCCTTTGACTCAAATGTCTTGCACAACTGCTCATCTCAAATGGGGAAGGCTAGTAGAAGTTCTGCTATGCTTACACCTTTAATCACACCAACCCGACCTGAAAGCTCATCCCAACCTTGTGTTTGGCCCACAGACTGCACAGTGGGCCAGGAGATGTGATGGAAAACAGTAGCATATGTTGCTGGATATGAATTAGACTGGCTTTCCCAAGGAAAGGAGGTGGAGGTAACTTGTCTCTAGATCCTGTTGTGTGAGTCTTGAACCTCTCAGCTAACAGTCAGAATTTGCAGAGGCAGGAAGGTTTTGAAAATAATTGTTTTTATATAGTTAGTGAATGTGGGAAGCAGAGGGGAGAGGAGAGACCCTGTAATTGCCTTGAGGAGAAGGTGGGTGAGTTTTTGCTGTCTGGTGAGTGTGAGGAGACAATCTAAATTGTTCAGGCTGCCCTCAGAGAGCTGTTGTAATGCAACAGTCCTTGTTGACTCAGATGCATGATGAAAATGTTTGTCTAAAATACAGTGTTCCCAAGATCTGTCTTTGACAAAGGCAAAGAAAAATCTCATTGCCAATAGACATAATTCTTTCAGGTTTTAATGCTGACACTACAAAATGATCCTCCCTCTTTGGAAACTGGTGTGCAAGATAAGGAGATGCTGAAGAAGTATGGGAAATCATTTAGGAAGATGATTTCATCGTGCCTACAAAAAGACCCTGAAAAAAGGTAAGAACTGGTAACACCAAAATAAATAAAAAGGAAAAAACAAAACAAAAAACCAAATAAACCTCCCAAAATTTAAACAAGCCCATAAAACTCATTGTATTCCATATTTTTTTAAAACCAGTACGCTCTCTGCCCCTCCAGCCTTTCAGTCGCAGTGAACACGCAGTTCTTGCTGTGTGGTAGCAAATTCTCTTGGCTGTCCTTATTTTTAAGGATAAATGTCTGGCATTGTGCCTGGCCAGGGCACACATCTTCATTTGGGTTAATGAGAGGCCATCCCAGTCCACTGCATGTGTGTGTGGTGCCGTTCTCCCCCTTGCCACCTCCAGCAGGTGACTGTAGGTCATGTTTTGTTCCCAGTCAAAATTGCTCTGTGTTTATAAATTGGAAATTACACGTTGGGCAATCCGTGTTTACTTGTGAAGCTTCATAAATTACTTTTTAAAATTTGACAGTGCAAAGAAGGCTTTCAGTGTAGTTTTGACTTGCTTAATTATAAGGAGTATTTGTTTTGGGGATGAAAATCAGGAAAAACACTGGCAAATTTTACCAACATGTTTTCATCAATACAGATTGCTTACGTGACCTGATGACATTCTGAGTCTTCCCTATAACAGTAGCTTGGCTACTCAGTGAGGTTAGAAATACTATAATTTTAGTAGTTTAGGAATAATGCCATTAGAAATACACCACTACCAAGGGAGAGGTGCATATGTTGTGGTTCCCAGGATAGCATTGTATCATTACGTTATGGCATTGTTCAAAGCTGCACGAGGGTCTGGCTGTCTACAGCACTGTTTAAAACCCACAACCTGTCACATAGAATGATAGAATGGTTTGAGTTGGAAGGGACCTTAAAGCTCATCCAGTTCCAACCCCCCTGCCAGCAGCAGGGACACCTTCCACTAGACCAGGTTGCTCAAAGCCTCATCCAGCCTGGCCTTCAACACTTCCAGGGAGGAGCAGCCACAACTTCCTTGGGCAACCTGTTCCCGTGTCCGACCACCCTCACAGTGAAGAACTTCTTCCCAATATCTCATCTAAACCTCCCCTCTTTCAGTTTAAACCCATTTCCCCTTGTTTTGTCATTAACTGCCCTTATGAAAAGTCCTTCCCCAGCTTTCTTGTAGGCCCCCTTCAGGTATTGGAAGGCTGCTATACCTGGGGTAGCTCAGGCATGTTTCTGTGGAGGACACTCATAGCACTTGCCAGTCTGTGAATCTGTTTAAAGGAGTGTTCATCCTCTACTGAAAATATTTTTCCTTAAAATGCAAAGGTAAAGAAAGAAGCATTCCCACAGATCAGTTTTTGTACCTCTTCGTTTTCTTTTTTTCCTCACTAAGCAAACAAATTCTGAAAAGGAAAAAGTCCTTTCATAAAACACTAATAATGAAGACATTTTTCAGTTCCCTCTTGTGACAGATCCAGGAACAAAGGCTTCCCATGCATCATGAGATGGAATCTCTCTCTCCTAACAAGCTTTGCACTTGAAACGCTTAATGAATCCAGTGGAGTGCTTGATAAATGCTGATAGCAGGGGTTTGTTTTTTTTTTCCCAGCGTGATTTTTTTTTTCTCCTTTCTAAAGCATATCCTATCTCTGCAGGTTAGCATGTGTGCTGATCAGAATTAAACATCATCACTTTGAATGGTGGCACAGCCCTTCTCAAACACCACTAACAGCCACTGCCAGCATCCTGACTGTGGGAGCAGGAGGTTGGCCTTATCATAAAGAGCAACTCACAGAATTAGATATGCTTATGCATATTCTCTGGGTTCTTAAAGAAGAGAATTTAGTGCAATTGCTTTTTGATTATTTTGGGGACTCCCTTGCTGTAAGGTGGATGATTTTTTGTTAGGGTAGTCTGAGGTGAAAGAAACCCTGTGCTGAATGGCCTTTGCAAGTCACTGATTAAACTCTGTTACTATTTAAGCACGGTTTGAAGTGTGGGAAATGCTGTAAGCTGGTACTTTCTCACGTAGGCCTGAGTCTTTAGACTTCTAAACTGGCCAAGGGGTGTCTTTTATTTTCCAGTATTTATCCTAAAGTCTAACTTAAAGGGAAAAATAGTTTGTACTTGTTACTTTTCTATTAGACAAAGGTTGATCATCCCATCTGTTTAATAGAACTAACTGCACACATACAATCAAGTATATCTGAAATAACTGTTACTTGCACACAGTGAGTACTGCACTCCTGCTGTAGGTGATGATCCTTCATTTCAATTTTGAGCAAATTGTTTCTGTGGTCATAGAATGGTTAGGATTGGAAGGGAACTTAAAGATCATCCAGTTCCAACCCCCCTGCCATCAGCAGGGACACCTTCCACTAGACCAGGTTGCTCAAAGCCTCATCCAGCCTGGCCTTAAAAGACTCAAGTTTAGCGTCAAAATGGGAGCAACTTCTCCTCCCAGCCCTTAAGTTCACTGCTTTTGAACAGAATAGGCTTTGATCAGAATGGACTGAGTTTTTAAAAGACTGCTGGTGTAAAATTTACTTGGAATACATTGATTTTTAGGGGAATTGTGCAGGGGAAGCCGATGAAGTGCCACGTTACAACAAGCTGCAGCAGCCTGGGAGACCGTTGCGTTGAAAGGGAACATTTATAATTGTATTTTCTACATCTGTTTTTATTGACAGGCCGACAGCAGCAGAACTCTTAAGACACAAATTTTTCACAAAAGCAAAGGTAAGAAAACACTTCCTAAACTGATCTGTGGAGAGAACTTGTCAGAAGTATGATAGGTATGGTGACAGCTTTATTGGCATGAGTGTGGGCTGTTTCACTTAGGGCCAGCATAGCTGAGTGAGTTGAATGGGTCATTGTGAGTGACCAGAATCAAACCCTTCTTCTGTGCCTCTTTGTGTATGCTGCTGTTAAGAGAAATTACCTAGAAATTCTTGAGCATTTAAATGTCTTTTGGTGGCTTTTAGGGTTTTTTCTTCGCTTGTAATGGTGCCATTCTGGCTGCCTGTCCAACCATAAAGGTCTCTGTGGCCATAAATGTAACTTATATTTTAGTGAACTCTATAATCAGTCTGTATGCAAAGCAGTGAATGAGGCCCACTGTGCAGAAGGCTACCTGAAAGTATTTTACCCTGTGTTGCCTTATGGGAAATGAAGATCTTGTGATACAAAATAGTAGGAAATTCCCATTTCTAGCCTTGACGTGAACTGCCAGTGAGCATTCCTGTAATTACTGCCTGGAGATTAGTGCATAAGCAACGTGCAAGGTCTTACTGAGGGAGACAGAAATAATACAAGGGAGAATTTATATTTCCATAGGAGTGAGGAAATGTTTTCTGTTTGCTTATTTTTTCTGTGGCATGTTTGTGATCAGAATACATAGGTTTTATAGCAGAACACAGATTAAAATGACAAAAAGATAACTGATAGATAGCACAGCAGCATCACCAAGTAGGTTTCAGTTCCCAGATTAAGATGCTTAAATGGAAGGGGCCACACCTAGTTATCTGTACGAGAGCTGGGTGTCCTATGAAAGCTGTCAGAAATCAAGTGCAACCCAGGAAGTCTAGAGAGTGATCCAGTTTATGAAATATAGAAGTTTGCTTTAGGACATGTTTAATTGGTGCCTGGGCTCTTGACAGTATTAACTAGCTTTTAATTGTCCATGATGGGATTTGAGGCAACTGCATAGTCTACATCTCTACACTGGATGCACTCTTGGTGTCCAAAGTGACAAGATGGTTTACACATTGCTGACCTTTCTCCGTTTGGTTATGCAAGTTCTGCTTCATGTTGTACTTCATTGTGTGTAAAATCTCCTTCATGCTTTCATTAAGCTGCTGCAGAGTAACATATTAGCATATGTGGTGATAGAAAATTAACATTATTGTAAATGAGGCAATACTTAAACTGACACCCACAGTGGAAATGTGTGCCAGTTAACGCTCAGTGTGAAATTACTTTCATACATCAGCCACTGCCAAACTGACAGCTGTAACTTGAGGACAGAAGAGTCCAACTTTTTATATTTAAATACAATCTGTGTTAGTAAAAGTGTGTTTTGATATTGCTGAGAGCCACTTATCAGGAAGTGACAGTGTGTGTCTTGAGGTTCTCCATCCTATGTGCAAGAAATCATCGCGGGGGAGTTCTGGGAGCACTTGATGGGGGCAGAGAAAGCAAGGCTATCCAGCCTCACTTGTGTGGTGTGAAATACCCAGCCAGATCCCAGTGCTAATGCCAGGGTGCTTGCCCAGCCTGCTTCCTAGGCAGCCAGTAGTTTGACTGTCAAGTGGTTGGAAAATTGTATGCTCAGGAGTCCACATGTTAGCCAGTCCGGAGTATTTATTACAGTGAAGCATCATAGCAGTTTCCAAATATTCAGTGTGTTGTGATCACCACATTTACTTCCTCTCTAAATGTCACATGCTGTACATTTTTTCAGCCATCCTTAACTCCTGTTCCCCAGTTCCTGTGTCTCATTACTCCAGCATATAGAGGTTCCTGCATCCCAGCCTGCCTGACATCTGAGGTTTGCCTTTGACAGTTGGGCAGGCATAAAATTAGGGGTAAGATAAAGCAAAGAGTCTGGATCCAGGTGGTGTAGTATCTGCGAGTGGAAGAATGCCAAATGTCTCAGCAGGGTATCAGATGCTGCAGTGTAATAAGTACGTTCCTCAGTAAATCAGATGGAATAGTACACAGCTCCTTGATTGTTAATTCCATGTCACTTTGCATAGGGAAAGTGCCACCATGAACTGAAAAGGTATTTAGAATGAAACATAGTATGCTGTGGTGCAGAGGAAGAAGGTGGTTAATGTCTTTGGGGGAATGGGGATGAAACATGTAAAACACTTTCTGCTAGAAATACCTTAACAATTTCTTTATTAGAGTGACTGAAGGAATCAAAGGGCATTTTCAACAATGCAAATGTTTGGTATTTTTTTCCTTTGCAGAATAAAGAATTTTTACAAGAGAAGATGTTGCAGAGAGCTCCAACAATCACTGAAAGATCTAAAAAGGTACTGAAAACCTGGGCTCTTGCTATTACTTATAACAGTTTTTTTATGCTTGTGTTCACATTTTTAATGATAATTACTGTAGTATGGCATTTTCTAGATACAGAGCTAGACATTTCAATAGAAGCACCCTGGCAGGGGATGCAACCTGAAGATGCTTTTATGATATTTCTCCCAAAAAAAAAGAGACCAACTGTAGGAACTGTGTGTTTGACATATCAGTGCTCTGTCTTTGTGCCGAACAGGTCCGGAGAGTCCCAGGTTCCAGCGGACGTCTTCACAAGACTGAAGATGGTGGCTGGGAATGGAGTGATGATGAACTAGATGAAGAAAGTGAGGAAGGCAGAGCAGCAATTTCACAGCTCAGGGTAGGTCCTCAAACTCAGCTAGCTGTACTGTTTCTGATTTGTTTTCTAACTGTGGTACATCTAAATATCCCTGGGAAGCACGTGGCCTTGTTTTCAGTGTGATACACAGTTCTGATCCCTCCCCTTGAGTTTGTAGCTGAACCAGAGGAAGCAGATTGAAGGTTGAAGAAATTGTATCGATCTCTTTTCTGTCATCATTCTGGGGCACAGCTGGTCTCGTTCAGGGATGTTGAGTATAATTGGGAATACGAATTCAGACGGTCTGCTCCCAGCTCAGCATACTAATTCACTTGAGCTAGGATATTCTCTTTGTTTTCAAGGGTGCTGACTGTTTGAGATGCTTTCTTCTGGAAGTGTCAGCAGAGGTTTTATCCTCCTGCCTTCTCCAGGATGGAGCTGAAATCAATAGGGCCTGTTTTTATGGCTGATACCTGAAACACACAAGGCCTGGTTCTGTCCCCTCAGTTGCACTGAGATCGATTAGTCCTAGTAGAAAATGTTACAGCATCCCTGAAGTCACAAGGAGTGACTGGTCTAGCACTTGAAAATCCACCACAAAACACCACATCCCCCTCTCCCAACACATACACAAAAAAAATCCAAATCCAGACTAACCTCAGAAACATAGAGGAGTAACACATAATAATCAACTAAAAGATGACAATAAATTTCCAAATTGTGTTCCTCCCAGCAGTGAGGAGTGTGGATTTTGACTGTAGTTGCTTGCCTGTTCCCTTTTCACTACAGCAGGTGGCTTGAAGAGGACTATGTGCTTTAATCGTTCTGTAATTGAATTAGTGAGACAGTGAAGGGTTTTTAGAGGAAGCTTTTCAGTATGAAAGGGAAGAAAAGCAGTATTGGTTTGAAGCATTTATCCCTTTACAACTTTAACTTTTCTCATTTATCTTTCATGGTCTTCCCTCTACTGGTCTTCTGTATAGACACTTAAGTATTAAATGCAAGATTTTGCTTCTTTTTAGCACCCTTTAACATGTTTGGGTTTTTAAAAGCCATTCTTGGTATTGTAATTCCATAGTTTGTGCCAACATCTATTGTGATTTTTTTTAAAGAGCTTACTATATCCAACTCCAGATCCTTAAGGAGAATCTCATGGTACCAGGTGGCTACTACTGAAATTTTTGATGCTTTTTGAGCTGAAATCTTCTAAATTCCTTTTGTAGGTTAAAATATAATCAAATTGTAGGACACAATATCGTAAAAGACCCTGACTATTTCAGAGATTGTTTAGAACTTGTTCTATCTTGTCTCTAAGCTCAGGGTGCTATGACTTAACACTGTTTGCTTTGCTGTGTTTTGAACAGTACTTGCTTGTTTCATTCCTCTCATGCAGAAAAAAGCAGATTGACACACCATGTTTACAAGGTTCTTTTCAAACCTTTTTTTTTTTTCTTGGAGCTTTGGCAAATTTCCCTGTACTGCTTTCTGTTCTGATTGCCCTCAGGGAGGGCACCACAGCAGCTTAGACCTCACTACATGTCCACCTAGGTACTTGAATCCTGCCCTGGGTGTCTTTAACTCAAAAGCTGTGCAGAGGACTTTCTTCAGCCTGAAGGTGAACGGATAGGAACACCTGTGCACCTCTGGCATTTGATCCCTTTTCAAGGACTCTCTAAGGCTTGTATTTAAACTGCTAGTGTTTGCCACAAATACAGTGTTGTTGAGGACTAGTGTTTATCCTGAGTTTTGGCCATAAGTTCCACCTGCCTGTGATCCTTCTGCAATTTTAACTAAGTTGTAAGATAGAATAACTTACATTAACTAGGTGTCACCTTTTATTCCTGCCCATGGCAGAGGGGTTGGACGAGATGGATCTTCAAAAATCCTTTCCAACCCAAACTATTCTCTGATTCCGGCTGTACCTGCATTTTCTTGCTGTCAGCCTTAAAGAGAATGGCTTGCAGATTGACTTAATTTGCTAAAATACTTCAGTATCCTCCATAAAAGCTTCTGCATAAATGGAAAGTGTTTGTAATTTTTTGCTCGTCTGCACTTCACAGAAAAAATAGGATGAATTTAATATGTATAGGTGTGTTATTTTACAAGTCTCTTGCTAGGACTGCACCCGAAAGCAGGCAAATATTTAGTACAAACAACCAGAATTATCTGCCCAATTAATTTAATAAGCTGATATGTTGGCTTAATGTTACCTTTTGGATATAAAGACATATAGTGAACAACTTTGCTCTCTGTATTTAAAACCCTGAATTCCAATTAGAGCAACTGTGCTATGTTGGCTCTTAAATCATTCACCTTCCGTTACTCAGTAAATCTGTGCAGTGGCACGCGGTGTGGTCACGTTTCACTGATTACTCACATCATCTCTGGTTACACAAGCAAAAGTAAGTTAGAACTAATATATTTCAGCACATCCCTGGAGTCATCTTATTTGTGCCTTAATTAGGTAAATGTCTATTAATGTTTGTCCTATTTCCTTTCTCTCCATGTTTTTTTCATTTACTGCTGTTTGCCATTTATCTGGGTTAGTTGTTAGCTCTGGGGCAGGGCCAGTGTTTCCATCCTTGTCTGTACAGTGTCTAGCACACTAAGATCTTTCAGACAAGCTCCTTTTGAGTTATTCCTTGAGGCATCTGGGTACTCTTGGATATGAGCTTTGTGTCTGAAAGAACAGCGCTGCAGCCATGGCCTGCAGATGTGGAGCATGGCTGTTTATCTCTGGGAGCAATGCCACATTTTTCCATCTTGCCTGGTAACTGTCAAGTGAGAGCTCAACATCCTGAGACGGATTTCAGGCTTTACCTTTCCAGCTGAGTGACTTTTTTTCTGACACTGTCTACACATAGTCACCATGAAGGAACTGTTCCTTCTCCTCCTGTCCAGAGGGCTCTTTGCAACTTGCTGTTCTGATAATAATTTTTAACCTTCTCTCATGAGAAGTCTATGAGTCATATATTACAAATTTATCTGATCTGCATTGGTTAAGTTAGTGGCATTGGTTAGTGCATAAACTGGCTCAAGATAGTGTCATGATGTGACTTACATTCTTCTATCTAACGCTGTCCTAATTGCAACTTGTCTTTTAAACCATTTTGTGGAGAAGGAACATCTATTTTATTAATCCCAGCATGGACCAAGCCATCCCACCTGTCTGTCTCCACATGGTAGCTGAACCTGTTAGAAGTCAAAGCTGCAGGCTCCCTTAATTGCAGGGCTTTCCAGGAGTACTTGGCAATTCCTTCCTGCTCATATGAAATAGCTAATGCATGTCACCTTTATTTTACTGATAAGCAAAGATTGGTCACATTGCTTTGTCTGCACTTTCCCCTCTGTTCCACGGATCTCTTTGTGTTGCTGCTGAACTTGTGTACAGCTGTCACTTCTCTGCTTCCTCCTATGGAGAGCATAGTGTAACGCAGAGTCTAAGGGCAAGGAGAGCAAGTGAGAGATTTCTTTCTAGAAAGCAGCACATGTAAGGCTGATTTTTATTTTTTTTTTATTTTTTCCAAGGTTTTGTGTGGTTTAAATAAGTTGGTTTGCAAACTAGTTCCCTAAGTATACAAAGGGGATTAGTTTCTTAGCAGAATTTTGTAAGCATTTGTGTGGTTTAACTTTTTCTGCCAAACCTGAGTAGCTTAAATTGATTTTGTCATCTTGGTGCACAAGTAATTTGGTCCAGTCTGAGTGATCTGTAGGAGTACTGGGTTTTGCTAATAGTTAACAATGATTGCAGCTTAGGGTATTGTATGCCACTGTGTCAATATCAACTGCAAGTTCTGAAACACCATTGTATGTTCTGGGTGGTATGATATGATTAGGTTGCCAACAAATTGTGTGGTGTCCCTTTCATTGTGTATCTTAATACACATATGTAACTTGAAAGCAATTATATAGATTTCATATGTTCAGTATGGTTCTGACAAGTCCTTCTAGTCAGTAAGATTCACTTTTGTCTAGGCACTGACAGATTTTTCTCTGTTTTTCAGTCTCCCAGAGTGAAAGAACCTGTACAGAATTCCGAGGTAAGTTATAATTGCAAATGACTTCCTGAAATAACTCCTAGTTATTGCTGCTGGTTCAAGGAACATGTTTTTATTAGCCCTTGAAAACAATATTGTGTGAAGTAGTAGCTAGCATCTAGTTGAGTTCTGCTTGAAAATCTCCCTGTGAAAGGAATCATTGGCTGTGTAATGCCAAGAGGTCTTTCTGAGGTAAGTTTGGTGTATCTTTTCAACTTTACTTGCTATGGCAAAAGTCTGTATGTTGTAAGATAATGAATTGGTCACAAGAATAATCGAAGGTAAACAATGCTGTTCCTATTTTTCCTATTTCCTCCTTTTTTAAAAAAAAAAAAAAAAAGAAAAAAACCCCAACTTTAAAATCTCTGTTTTGCGTAGTCCGAATCACTCGTTTGCAAGCTATGCTCAGAAATATGAAATAATCTGTAGTAGTGTTTGATAGAAAACAAAACTTCAATTGCAATTTATAATCTGCCTGAAGTTCTGTCCTGTGTTTCTTACATTAGGAATATTAGTTTATCTTCTCTTTCAGTGATAGAGACTGCTTATCTTCTAGAGACTGTGCTGTGTCTTTCTTTTCCCTACTTGTGTGGAAAGATAAACAGAGCTGTCTCCTAGAAATTAGTCTTGGGTTAGGCTGTCCTGTTCTTCCTTCATCTGTTTCCAAGGATTGATTATAAAGGGAGATCTTAAGAAAGACCACAGTTCTGGCACTGTAATTTGCCATAAACTCTAGATTCAAAGAAAAAGCTGAAAACTAGAATCCTTTAGGGATGAGTTTCCCCATTGTCATGCATCCCTTAATATATATTGTGGTTTGGAGGTCTGCTGCCCAGGTTTTCAATATTCAAGGTGATTTATATTTCCTACAACTTAGTAGAGTAAGTTGGAGGGCACACTGAAGTGCCATCAAGCTTATAGTTCTGTGACTACCATGCCAAAATCAGTTTCTCTGTTCTGAATAACACGAGAGGTAAAAAGGGTTAATCTTTCATTTAGTTCCTTTCCCCCACCCCCAAATTAATTGCATATGATTTTTTTTTTTGCACTAACTTTAGTAAATCCAATCCTCAACAATCATCTTGTGTGTTTTGGAGAACGTAAGCTCTGAATTCACTTTTCAGTTGAATATCCAGATTGCTCTGACTGACGTTTGTTTTACCAATGGATAAATTGTCCATAGTTATCTTAATGCTTTGCTAGGCTGTGTTCTCTGAAAGGAACTAAAAGTCAAAGCAGAGTTGCTCTGCTCTGACTGCATGGCTACTTGGAAATGTAAGTAGCACTCAGATTCTGAGAAGGGGGGGGGAGGAACTAAAGGATAGGGTGCTCTCCTCCAAGGTAGGATATGATCTGTGTGCATCCAGCCTTGCTAGCTGCAGGGTGTAGTTTTTGTCCAAGATCCACAGTCATTCTGCTATCTTGGTTTCTTATTCTTATTTACTGGTGAGTGAAATTTGCAAATGTCAGGGCAGAAGGGGCCCCCTGGACATGAGGAAACATTAAACCCCTTGAACACCAACTTGGGATCAGTGTTAAGTGTCCTACTGGCCTGGGAATGCCCTTGGCATTGAACTTCTAAAAGTGATTTATGTGGCAAACAAGCACGTGTTGGAAAGCTGGTGCCTGAATCCGAACTCTTGAGTTCCTTTTCTCATTAAACACCTTTTTGCTTGCAGCTATTCCCATCAGCTGAGCCTCCAGGTCCTTCACTCAATGCTCCAGCACAGGCACCTACTCAACTACCTCAGGCTGCAGGACAAGTACCTGCACAACCTCCAACTGCTGTACCTCCACCTAGTCAGGCTCCTCCAGCAGCCCCAGCAGCAGCCCAGGTAAGACCAGAAACCCTTTGTACCAGCTTTCAGCTTTGAGCTTTGCTGTTCTGTTCTGATCCAAAGCCATGAAAGTTGCTTGTCCAGAGTTGTGTTAGTGCTACTGCTTACACAGAAGTGACAGCTCTAGGCTTCTCTGTGAACCCTTGTTTGTTTTCACTGACCTGGTAAAGTTCTCAGCTTCAACAGAAATGAGATCGTCATCAGAAGCCCCGAGCTCCATTGCTGGCACAAGAGCACCAACAGATGCTGTAAAATACTAGTGGCTTGCAAAAGGAGTACAGTCAATGTAGGCTCAGCAGTTTTTTGTTCTTATTCTGTGAGTGAGCAGTGACTTTTTATGCTGTTTAGGGAGTGCAGTCTGACTTGAGACAAGGTTAAAGGTTAAGAAAAAAGGAGAGTCTTGTGTAAGTGGCAGCTGCTTGTTCTTGGTGTTTAAGGTTCAGAACAAACAGGTTCTGATTGTGTCTCCCAACATCACTGGCATCTATGGGATAAGAGTGGAGAAAAAAGTGAGAGGAAGAAACTAGAACATGCAAGTTCTTCAGCCTTCAGAAGAGAGACAGGCCTAGCTAAAATTTTGTAGCCATCAAAAATTGTGGAGAAACTCCATCTTTGGGAAGCTCTGAACCTTGTGGTGCTTTCAAACACTTCAATTTCAAAGAGAGGAGACAGAAGGGAGAATGAACCTGTGGGGGGAGGCACAGAGAATGTGAAAGCTTGACAAGTTTGTGTTTAATTCTTAGCCACCTCACCCCAAAGTGAAGGATATGGGTCAGATAGGCAGGCATAGCAAAGTCAGGAAGGATCTCTGACTTGTGTTAAAAAGAGAAAAATGGCCAACTCAAATCATTACTGAGACACTTGGAATGTGTCTTGTGGTTTGCTGCAGAGTTTGCAGGCTCTTGAGTGATGGCACTTCTTTTATAAAACACACTAATGGTCATATTTAGTGGGGAGAGGCTGTCACTGTTGAAGGGGGCCAAGCTACTATCACCTTTTGGTGGTGTTGGTCAGAAAAATAACTCTTAGACTTACTCCTTCCTAGGAATGTTTCATTCTTTTTATTTTAAAAGAACATAGAAAGATACGTATATCACTTCCCTGCAGTCAGCTCATGTTCCTGTTTACCAGACTGTTAAAGACAGTGCATTAGTCATTAAACAAAAATAGTGGAGTTGAGGTCTGACATATTCTTGGCTACATTAAAAGTAGCTTTAATACTTAAATCAAACCCCTTCAAATCTCTTGAAAAAGGGCCAGTGTTTAATCCCTTAATTTTATGCAGCAGTTGAAACACCAGCAGCAAAGGCTAGGACTCCCATTTTGGCAAAAAATGAAGTAGCAGTGTTGGTCTTGGTGAAAGTGTTTTCATTTGCACTAGCAGAGTATCTTGCTCCCTGCCACTGGTGCTCAGAAGTTTATTTGTTGGTAGCTTGTCCTAAAGTGAACTTCATACCTTTGTGTCACTGTGGTGTTCTTTATAGCTCTCTGTGTCACCGTGTTCTTCTTTATAGCTCTTCTTTGTCAATATGTTCTTCCTTACAGCTCTTTCTAGCAGTGTGTTCTTCTTTATAGCTCTCCTGGTTCTTGTAGCTCGTTGGTTACTGTTTTGCAAACCTCTCTGGGCTTCTCTGTGAACCTTTGTTTGTTTTCACTGACCTGGTAAAGTTTTCAGCTTCAACAGAAATGAGATCGTCATCAGAAGCCCCGAGCTCCATTGCTGGCACAAGAGCACCAACAGATGCTGTAAAATACAAGTCTTAAACAAAGGCTTATTTTTTTTTTCCTCTCGTGAAAAAACTTGGTCAAGACTTTGAAGCTTAAATTATCAGCCTAGCATTGTGTCTGCCTTGTTACTACAGTTTTACAATTCCTGCCTCAGCACATGCAGTACAGATGACTTGTGCAGTTTGTTGGGGTTTATTTGGTGGAGCTTGATTAACAATTAGCCCTTTACTGGAAGTATCACAAGTACTGTGAAGTTGGACACCTCCTGGATCTTTCCTAGATTGCTGCTGACCAATATGAAATGCTTTGATTACATGTTCCAATAATTACTCTGAAGTAATTTAGAAGTGAAAATAGGCAGCTGTAAAATCGCTGCTAGATGCCTGTAAAGCCTTTGATTTTACAAAAAAATAAAGAGTATATGCTAATCTGCTAATTACATTATTTCTGACGTGCTCTTCACAATTGTATCAGGTTTTTAAATCAGATGTTTGGGGCAGGGATTAAAACACAAGAGGTCTTAAAGCTGTCATGAATGCCCAAAAACTTTAAGTTTTGATGCAAAGCAAGCAGTCTTTTTATATTTGGCACTTCTTCTGAAGTTTCCTGCCACTTTGGCTTTTCTCAAAGTTGTGTAGTTTTTACTCTTTTCAAAACAATTGCAGAACCTCCTGGGTTACTATTTAAGCATGAAGTTCTCCTGTTTCATTAGTCTGTTGTCTTTTTTCACTGTAGTGTCATGATCCTAATAATGAGTTCAACTTTTATTTGTATTTATAGTTGATCAAGGTTATCTCTAGTTTGAAAACCAGAGAAAGGGATGATCTGCTATAAAATAGTGTAATCCTATTGCAGGCCCCACCTGCTCCTGCTGCAGCTCCAGTACAGGAAGATACAAAAGTCCCCATCAGCCTTGTACTAAGGTTAAGGTAAGGACACAAAACTAACCTGTTCTGTCAAAGTGAGCCATTGTAGAGAGGGGCACTGGAGGACTTCTGTAGTGCATCTTGCCATCTGCCTTTTAATGAGAAGGGTGGTGGATATATGTTGTTTGGCAGCTTGGATTTCATCCACTCTTCTGAAACTGGGACCCAGAAAAGCAGTTTATCTCATCCACTTCTTCAGTTTGGCAAGAGCTGTAAGACTGGAAGATTGTGATATTTGTATAAATATTCCTAAACTCTAATGAGGTGGGAAAGAGGAATTAGCTGGATTCCCTAACAGAGATCAGGGATCCAGGGCTTCTGGCCTTGTGCTGGACCATCTTACTATTCAGGCACAACTTCAGACTTCAGCCAGTTCTGAGAGTGATGAGCTTTTATCCAATTCAAGGCATAGATTGTGGTCTATATCCCTAGAAATAGGCAGAAAAAGGATTGTAAGCTGCTTTCTACTGTCATTACACATATTGACGTTTCTTATTTAAGAAACCTGCCTCTCATCTCAGTAGGCATCTTGGTTGTTGATAGGCGTTGGACTGGCCAGACTGATTGTTCAGTGACAGCACTTTCTTTTGGGCATCAATCAGTGCAATGAAATGGTCTCTTCTATATAAAATTCTCTTCTTTCCACAGGAATTCAAAAAAAGAGCTCAATGATATTCGATTTGAATTTACCCCAGGGAGAGGTGAGCTGGTGGGAGATTCCAATCTGTGAAGGTGGTTTTGATGATGGGGAACTTCTGTGTTCAGTGTTGTGCAGTTGTGTGTATGGAGACCCTGTATGAGAGTCTGTCCACGGTGCCTTCCTAAAGGGCTTGCCTTACGGTCGAGCTGATCACCAGTGCTTGGAGCACTGCTGTTGAGAAGACTCCTCTTGGAAAACTGTCATGGATATGAGCAAAGTGCAGCTCTTCAATGAATTTCATCTCAGAGTTTGACATCATAGCTCAGAGCTGTCTGACAGCACCCGGTGTACACCCTCATATCCCTCTTGTGTAAACAACACTCGGTGTTTGGTTTGTACGAGCTCCTTTAGGTTTCTGTGTGATGCCTTCATCCGTTGGACAATATCTGTTACGTGGTGACTGACTCTTGGGTTTTTCCCCAACAGATACTGCTGATGGTGTGTCTCAAGAACTCATTTCAGCAGGTCTTGTTGATGGCAGAGATCTGGTAATAGGTAATTATGTATTATTTTTCCTGCTCTAACCATTTCAGTCATTTTTTTTAACGTTTAAAATGACCTGATGAGTTGGGTGCTAGGTGAGTTTTCTGTGGCTTTAGTTCTCTACCCAATAAGCTCAACAAAATTGCAGACAGCTCTGTGCCAGTACATTTAGGCAACTCCCAGTCCAGAAGAATATGATCAAGTTGGAAACATTATGAAGCAAATGTTCCTTGTAATGCAAAATGAAGGCTAATCCATGCATTAGATAAATCATTATCATCTGATGTATATGCATTGCCAAATTGCTGCACAAGCCTGTACTGCTCACAAGTCCTGCACAAGAGAGGTCTGGGACTGGAATCAGCCAGGCTTTTTTGGTTTAAGTAGGGCTGGGGAAGGAAGGATGAAGTGCACACGCACTAGGGCAGCAGCATGTGTCGTATGGGTGTGAACAGGTAGATGACCAGCTGCCTCTAGCAACAGTTTGCTAAATAAATGTGTCCTGTGTAGCAGGTGAGACTTAAACTCTCAGTGCTGCCTGTGTATTTTGAATACAGCTAGCAAACCTGTTTCTTAACCACAGGCTGTAACATGTGGAAAGGCTGCTAGTGCAAAATGAACTGGATTTCCAGGTGCAGTTGGGCAGTTTATTACTAGTAATCCCACCACATCCAGGAAAAAAAAATACTACCTCTGAAAAAGAAGCATCCTAACTGATGACAGCATTTTCACAGTTTAAAGCTTTAGATTTAAGCAGGTTGAGTCTACCTGAGACCTGAACTTTTTAATCATTTTAGAAGTTCTAAGTTTGCTGAGTAATAGAAAGAGGCCTAATGAGTTTGGGATGTTTTTCTCTAGCCTGTCCTAACATTTGCCCATTTTCTTTCTGTGTGTTTGTGTGTGTGTGTGATTTCAGTTGCAGCTAATTTGCAGAAAATTGTGGAAGAGCCCCAAGCGAACAGATCCGTCACTTTCAAACTGGTATTTATTCCTGTTCCCTAATTGAAAAGTTGTCACTTGCAAAGAGAAGGCATTGCATAGAAATGCCTGTGATGTCTACTGTAGGCATCTAATGCATGCACTCTAAATCCTCCCCTCTTTCCCAAAGCTTCCTGCTGGTTGTCTAACAGTAGGCAATGCAGGCTCCCTGCTTGTGTCCTCTGAGCAGCACCTCGGTTAAATCAGTGTGAGATGATGTGCTCATAGAAACAAATTCCCTTATCCTGGTTAATAAACATATCAAAATGCTACAAAAGGGTATTTTCTGGGCTTGGAATGTACACTTGCCCAGAAAAGGCAGAAATACTTCAGGGCTGGCAAGTGGGCTAAGAAATGGACTCCTTTCTGGGAGGAGGAGAATGGGGAGGGTCCAGATACATTGTCTGTGAGGAGGAAATGGGGAAATGAAGGAAAAAAAAAAAGAGAGAGAAGAGTGAGGGGCAAAAAAACCAGCCAAAACTAAGAGAAGATAGGGTAGCAGAGGAGAAAGAATGGCAGATGAATCCTTCAGAGGTGGTGGAATTCAGAGGTAGTTTTAGTGGCAAAGCAAAAGTGGAACCAGTTTATTTATTGGTAGTGAAGCAGTAAGTGCCATTGTTTTTAACTCTTTCTATAAGGAGTTAACACTTGTTTTGCCCTAGTTAGTGCATGTAGCCTGAGTCAGAGCAGCCATTGGCAAAACTTCAGTCCCAGCCCTTCCTATCTTCAAAAAAAGGCAAAAAAACCCACCTCAAAAAACCTGCTGAATTTTAACTTTGGGTAGTTCTAGCTGCTGAATACAGTGCAAAGCTGTCCTGTGACTGCTCCCTCTGCAGACTGTGTCTGATGTACCTTGTGATACGTAGCGTGGTACGTATCGGGGGGGTAGAGCACGTGTGTTGCTATTTGGATCTTTGTTCCTTGTGTTTCAGGCATCTGGTGTCGAAGGCTCAGATATTCCTGATGATGGCAAACTTATAGGATTTGCACAGCTCAGCATCAGCTAAACAATGGTCCCAGGAGATGTTTTCCAACCGAGAACCCACATGTGCATATTCGTAATGCTTCTGTTAGCCTAAACAAAAACAAAAACAAACCACTACTGCCAAAGAATTGAACTACAGCCCCCTTCCTAGAAGCTTTAACATTTTTCCTTAATAGGATCACAAACCTTCCTGAAATTACCGATGGCGTTTACACCTTTTGTAAACAACTCTCATGTTTTTGTATCTGTCATCTCAAACGTGCAGATCCAACACATCATTGCCTGCATGTTCATTTTATTATTGCCTTACTTTAAAGAAAAATACTACTGAGTACGAAGCAGGGGGTTCCACTGCTCTGATGATCTTGCCTAAATGTTTGCTTACATGTGGTTTCATTTTTTTTTTTTTTCACTTGCTATTTTTGCACAAGTTTTAATACTGAAAGGATCTTTTTTTTTTTTGTTGTTCCTGCTTCTCCTTTTCTCTGAAACACCAATGTACATGTTATTTGGGTCACCTGGAGTGCTGAGAAATCTGCTTCTCTTCGGCTGTGTTTTTTAAAACTGCTGGTTTGAATGCTTGCACCCAAGAAAGCAAGCCAAGTCTTAACCCACGGGAGGGAGAGCCACCTTCCCTTGTGCTTGTGTTTTTGAGAAGTTCCTTGACTTTGAGGTGTTAGAAGTCAGCTTCCCTTTGTAAACTGCCTTAATTATTTCTTATTTTTTTTTTTTCTTCACCATTTTGGTTCTCTCCACATGAGTGCCAGGCGTGGCATGAGGGCTGAACCTTTTAATTTACATTAAGCAGTCCTTCCTCAAAACGTCTTTCATTCTGCGTCTTAGATGTAGTCTGTTCTTGAAGCAGAGCAATGAGGCATTGCTGTCTGGAAACTGGGCTTTCAGATGATCAACAGAGTATTTGTGGTCAGAGGGAGAGGAGATCTGTG